ATTTCTGCTCCAAGTTATACACACTTGCTCTTTAATAATTTATGTTATAAAAATGGTTTGTAGAGTACTGATCTGTTATCCTTTGCTCAAGAAATGCTTCCTTCTTTCTACATGCATTTTCCTTGATTTCTTTTTCCCAAATAACAGCCCAGCCTCAGCAGCAGGATAGAAAGGAGCACCCAGGATAGGAACAGGAGCAATGGCAGGGGTAGGGGTCATGTGCTGGGAAGCAGCTGGCTGCAGCCAGTGTTTCCTTTGCTTCTAGCATGTGAGAGTCTCGTTTCCTAAGGGATGGAAGAAAGAAATCAGGGTGCTTTTTATTTTTTCTTCCTGAGCTGTAGCATTAAGTGAGCAAGCAGTGGTTCCCTGTTCTTGCATTTCCTAAGACAGATTGATAGAGAAAAACTGGAAGAAAATCAGGCTTAAGTATCAGTAGAAAGTTGTGCGGCCCTGTRCAGGCCCAGATGCTTTGGCATTTTGTTCCCAGAAGCAAAACTGCTGATATTGAGGTTGCCTTCACATTTTTCCCAGGCACTTTCAGAGCTGTTGCCTTCTTAGGCCTTGATAAGTGTGTAGCTGGGTGTCAAAGTTACCCACAGACAGGTTAAACTGTGAAGAAAACATGAAGAATTTGATCAAAATAGTAAATTGCAAACAAAACAAACGAAAGCAAAATGAATGAACAAACAAAACAACAAACAAATAAACAAACCCTTCAGAAATCTGAGTATTCCTTTCTGAGCAGTCCCAACTGACCATTTATCCACATGAACAGGGCAGTTAGGACATGAATTTCTGCTCTGCCTTTACCTGGGGGAGGGTCCTTGCCTGGACCAGCAGGTATGGGCTGTTYCTGAGGATGCTGCAAGCCCCACAGCAGCTGGCAGGGTGGGCTAAGACTTCTTCCTGCTTTCCTTCTTTCTTTGTATCCACTGTAACTTTCCCATAAAGCAGAGAGCCACTGTTGCTTGCAAACTTGCATCTATTTAGCCTTTTGTTATGAAAATTCRTCTTGCCATCTCGGCACTTCTAATCCCTTTAAAATAGGCTGAGCTKTGGTTGCTGTGATACCCTGCCTTTGGCATGGAGGACCCCGAGCTCACCCTCCATGGCAGCAGCTGCTGCTGTTTAGGGGCGTTCAGKGTCCTGCCCTAGAGCCACGAGGTGTCACAGGAGTGATGGATCAGCTCCTGCTGGGGAAGGTGCTGGCTCCCAAAGAGAGATGCTGCAGGCGATGTCCCGTGATTCCTGAGCGCTATCTTTTCCATTTAAAGACACTTAAATGCCAGAAGGAGCATTTSAGGCATATGTGCAGGGAATTGACAGAATCAGGGGTTTGTAAGAACTTTTGTCCCCTTGTATTTAAAACCTGAGAAGAGGCGTGATGCGGAGAGGCGCGAGATGCCTGCTGCTGAGCTATAAAGGCTGCTTTGTGCTGAATCATCCAGCCTAAAAAGAGCTCTGCCTCTCTCCTGCTAAGTGGCCAGTGACTGCTGCTGGACCCCACTGTGACAGCTTTTGTTAGCCAAGACCAGCTGCAGCATGAGGTGTCTCAGTCCTTTCACCACAAAACAAGCTGCAAAAGGCACTGAGGGGTAAATTTGGATTTTCTTTTGCTCCACCATGGAGTTTTCCACCTAAAGCTGCAGTTGTTTGGCTCCAGACCTGGGCCAGAGTGCAAATATTGGAGCAGCAYGGAGTTGGTGTGAGCTCATGTGGATGTAGCATTTGCAGGGTGTTTGTGGAAGAGAGGAGAGTATCCTGCATCTCTGAAGTCAGTACTCAGAGGTGACTTTTTATTACCTTGATGACAGGAGAAATTAACTGTGAGATACATGTTCATCCCAAAAAAAGTAACCTCCCAACAGAGCAACCACCTTCCTCCCAACATGCTCAGGCAGCCCTTCCTGTCGTAGGCTTCCCACTTTGATAGAACTTAGTCAAACCTTGGAAAGCTTTGTGCAAGGGCAGGTTTTATTGGGATGGRGCAGTTCAGTAGCCTGTTTCCATCAGTGCCTACAAGACCAGGCTTCCTTGAATTCCTTGAATACTGCAGCACTTCAAAGAAACCAAAAGTCTACCAAAAAAAAAAAGGTAAATTTCAATACCCTCACATTTTCTTCACTTTGATGAAATTCATTGTGGTGCACTTACGTTCCCCCTTGTTTTTGTTTCTTTGCAGACATTCTCAGGCAAAGATTGGAGAATGGCTGCTTGTACCAACTGCACTCACAGCTGTCCCACCTGGAGTGAGTTTTTGAGGCAGGCTTGGTATTCACCAGGATATGTTGAGCCCGTGGGGCAAATTAGGTCAGAAACATCTCCTGGTTTATGTGAAAAGTTGTGCTGGATATTTTTCTGAGTCTTGGCAAATACAGATGTACTTTGTATAAAGAATGATATCCACACCTGATCAGGAGGAGGTTTAATGGCCCATAAATGGGAGCAGTGCCCAGAAGATGAGATAGTTTTCCTGCCCCAAGGCTGGATGCACCCAAATGATCGACGAGCAGCCACAGTGTAGCAAACCCGACAAAAATCTCTATGGGAGGGTGACTTTGTGTCCTTATTGCCAGGTGAAGCTGTTTTAAAGCAGCACCCTCATGAGGTGGCTGTGCCCAAGCTGTGTGACCAGCACACAGGGTGTGTGTGTCCATCTGTACAATTACTCTGAGCACGAGGGATGATGCCTTCATGTCCACACCAGATTTCCTGTGTTGCTCTTGAATTGGTGACATGTGCTGGCTCTGGATGTGCCTTTTGTACCTTTYGTGGTAGCAACTTCACTGTCCCCCCTGCTCCACCGCTGGGAGTTAGCAGGATCTGCTCCCTGCCCTTCATTCCCCGTGTCCCAAAGAGCAGCAGCGTGCTCAGTGTGTGCTGGATCTTGGTGAGCTTCTCAGCGAGTTCCCACCAGCATCTGTCACTCCTGCAGCATTCACTCACAGYCTCCTGCCTCTGGTCCCTTTGGTGCCTCACACCCACCTATTGCCATTCCTTCCTCATTCCTACCAATCTCCCCACATCCATTACTATTAGAATACTCTTTTATTAGAAGACATTTAAATCTGTAAGAATTTTTTCTGAATGAATTTCTGTAAGAGTTTTTTTTTGGTCAGGGGGTGGAATTAGCATTATGAACATTAAAAGGCAGGAAATGGTGTCTTTTTTAAAAAATCAACTGCTTCAAGGGAGAAAAAATGAGAAATGTTTCTGAGAAAAGCTTTCCATAATATGAGAGAGCAGAAGCTCCATTCCTTATTCTCACACCACCCGTGTTTATTAACCCTAGCCTATTTTAGAAACAAAACAKCTCTCACATCTTTCATGTAAGCCAGGGTAACAGAATCCATCTAACCATCAAAGCAAGTGCAGTAGCCACAAACAAAAACAAGGTATAAAACTTTCTTTYGTGTTTAGTTCTAAGCTCCATAGGCCTCAGAAAACTGCCTGACACTCTTTACAATTCATGTGTAGTCCAAGTCAGAGTTTACATGAGTATGCAGAGAACCTGGACTACCCCTTTAGTGCATCCAACCCAAAATCTTGTTTCCAGCAGTGGCCGTGACAGAATAGGGAAGGAAGACTGTAAGAATAAAACAGACACATMCAGTAGCTTCCTCTTCATATTCTCTCAGCCTCTAATATTTTTCAGCATAGTTTATATGTGTTTAGGATTTCTTAAAGGATTTCTCACCCAGTGGTTTGTCATTGAACCAATTCTAGCATCTCCAATATCCACTGGCAAAGGCTTAGTAGGTGGACTACTCATTGCATGAAGGGTTGCTCGATTTAATTCAAACCCCAATCCTCTCATAATTCCTTTTGATGTTCTTGAGTTCTATTTGTTTCTGCCAACAGAAAATAAACAAACAAATTCTGCCATGTCGCACTTGAGTCCAACTAATTGTCTTTGAATAACCAGTCAGTAATAATTAGATAATAATTGAATAACTAAAAAAAAAAAAAAGGTGATGGCCCAGCATCCTGGAGAAGCATGAGCATATACTCTGCCTTTTATAACCTGGTTTGGGTCCTCCTGAGACCTTGGTTGGTGTCAGCTCTATTTTGAAAGGGCACTGTGGGTGTGTCTCTGAAAAGGGGTATCAAAATGGAAATCAGTAAAAGTAGCAAATTTTATTTATTTGGAAATAAATACTTCAGATCATTTAGTTATAAGTAGGGTTTTTTTCCTTCAAATACTGATTGTTTGCAATTATGTTAAGTTTGTGAGTATTTCTTTAGAGACACTAATAACATTTTTGGGTCTTATTTCTGTCATATRCCACATCTGAAGCCTTAGCTTGTTTCCCCAGCAAGCAGTGTCCAGTATGGCACACAGATTTCCCATCTAGTGAGTGCATTATGATGCTGATGTCCTGCAGTAAGTGTTCCACCAGAGTGTATTTACCAATCATTATTTAAAGGAAAGATATTTTTCTTTCAGGGGTTTTCAAATGCTACGTCTCATTCCCTCTTTGTTTTTTTGCCTATAAATTTCTCTGAGTCCAAGAAAAGATGTTCCTAATGTTAGCAATTGTTAATTCAGATRAACAGAAATTCTGAATGTGCATTCTTCAACCTCACACTGTTCAATTCAACATCTCACACTGTTCAGTTCAAACTGTTCCCACCTGGGGGTAAATGCTAGGTGCCAGGCAGAGCACACCCCAAGCAGGAATGTGGYAAGAACCGGTTGCAGGCTCAGCTCTGCCTGGGACAAGCTCATTGGAAGGGCTTGAGAAAAAAAAGATGTTTATGTTGCACTCATGTTTGGGGTGAGTGACACCCTAGGAGGACTCACAGTGACATCCCTTCAGTGCAGGGCTCCTCTGGTTTGTGACTGACCCTCTGTCAGGATCAGCTGTGCTCCATCYCTCCTGGAAGGGTGGTTGCTGTCACCCCAGCTCTGGAGGAAGGACATGGAGAAGGAGGAATACACAACTCGAGGGGGGACACCAGTGATAAGGCAGAAACAAAGACACCCTGACAGCTGGGTCCCATTGACTTCCAACAGGTTGGCAATTACATTTTATTCAGACAATTAACAGAAAGCAGGTAATTAGCACTAAGGTAGATCATAAACCAGCAGCAAGATAACATGGATCATATTTGATGTAACACTTATTGTCAGAAACACTCTGTGTACATAAGCCATGAGATACCATGCATGGAGTAAGCATGAAAAATTGCTCCCCAGGTGGTGGTCCCAGGAAACTCTCCAAATTCAGTCACTAAGTGATTTTTATTATTTAGTTCACATTMTTTCTTCCCCTGTAAACAATCCAATCTGGATGTAAACCATAAGGAAATGCTACGATGGGACAAAGGCTCAGGGCTGTGCAGAGGCCATGCCAAASTTCACTCCAAGGGTGGCAGGACTTGGGGCTACCCACATGGCTGCCTGTCACCAGAGCAAAGGGTGCACGGGCCACACAGCTCCACTGGGCAGGGCTCTGTGGTGTCCCTCTGTGGCACTCATCCTCCACACTTGTTTTCAATCTTTCCCCCATGACTAAAGATCCCATGACTCTTTTCCTCTTGACTAAAGACCTGTCTGTCCTGAGCAGGAGCAAGCCTCCATGCAGGGCCACTCACCTCCTCTGTAGACTGAACTCTGCTGTGAAAGGCAGATGGACTTTAAGCTGTTCTGGGGAAGCAGGGTGAAAAACCAGAAGTAGATATATAGCAGCTTGTTTTCTCTCTTAAATTGTATATGAAAACAARTAACTCAGTGCAGTGATGGATGTCCTTGGGGTTAATATGAGGTTAATATCAAGGCTGTATTACCTTTTTCATCTTCCTTTCCAACTTTCAATCTGTAGTTGATTTACTTTTTTTAATTGGCAAAACATAGGTAGGAATGCCCCAGAAATGCTTCTGGGTCTGCAGCAGGGATCAGGTAGGGACATTGGGGCTTGGTATATTATCTTCAGTTTTAAAACATTTTCGCAATTCCAGAGCTGGAAATACGTATTCTTTAAAAGCAGAGATCCCATAGTGCAGAACCCATCTTCCGCTGCAAACCTCCTTACCAGGAAACTGTAAAATATGTCAGACCTCAGATTACTTAGTGGACAACCAATCCTTGAAGTTTAAGACCACCTTCTATTGTYTCTAACATTAAGGCTCGGCCCAAACTCACCACATTCAAACTAATTCCCACTGAACCTGCTGTGGATGTGTTCTGTACAGSAGCAGGCAGCTCTGGCGAGGGCCTTGTAGGTTTTCTAGCTGAGCAAGGAGTCTCCAGCTGCTACAGCTGAATGGCTGCATGGGAGCAGAATCCCCTTCCCAAACTGSTCCCTCTCCCTTGATTTGAGTACTCTGGGACCTGCAGAAACGGGATGTGTTTGATTTCCAGTGTCAGCACTGTTAGAGAAATTGATTGTGGGACATTGCAAGGATCACAGCCATAGCGGAGTATTTAAAAGCCACATCTCTGCTGCTAGTGGGACYGCTGCAGGACACAATTTCCTTCATTTTTTCTTGACACTAGGGCCATTAACTTTCAAAATGTTTTCTGTGTCAGTCCTAGCTTATACCAGCCTTTCTTTCCTGGAACATCCCATTCCTGTGCTGGCACAAGGTCCAACAGTGATAGAACAGTGCAGCCACCAGAACAAGGTTAAAACAAACCTTGAAAAAAAGGGGGAAAACAGGGTTTATTTTAACATGGATCAGTTCCTCAGTCCTGTGCCTCACATTGTCAGGAGTGAGTGAAAAAAAAACCAAAACTACAGAGGGACAGCGAAGAGCAAACGATGTGTGAAAGGACAACCTAAACTATAAATGGACAGACATGATCAGTCTCAGTCACTCAGCTTTAGAAAATATAAAAATCTTCAAGCCTTCAAGTATTTTTGTAGTTTTAAACAACTGGTTCTGCTATGTCTGAAACAATCTCCAAAAATGGAGGGTGGCAACAGAGGCAGAAGAAAATGAGACCAGTACCGTAAGTATGGAGCGAACAGCTYTTGTTCGAGTGCCCAGCCTTGTTCCTGGCTCCCTGAGCTGCCCAGGAGACCCTGGAGGGCCAATACCTCATTTTATTTTCCTGATTTCTTGCAGCCTGTGGAGGCTGAAGTGGGACTCTGCTCTGCTCAAAAGAGCTGGAGTTCAGAGGCTGTGCCAGCCAGTCCTGGGAGATGYGTGTCCTGGCTCAAACACACTGCTTGCACTGGAGTGGGTTTATTCCATTCTGAACTCCACCCTTCAAGAGGACTCCCCAAGGGGATGAATTCTGCAGCTCACAGGGACAGAAGAAGAAAGCTCCAGCAATGGCATCCAGCCCTTCACTCCTAATATTCCCCTGATACATCATCCACAGCCTGGATTTCTTGTGGCTGAGGGGTTAAGGATGGTGGCTCTAGGCCCACTGCAGGTACATGTTAATCTTTGGTATCGGATTTTGACCATTTGATTGGAAAACAAAAGGAAGAACTAAGCTGTCACCTGCAAAGYGTCCTGGACAAAGGACCCAGGTTACAAATGCTACTGAATATAGTGCTGTGCTGGGAGCTGCGCCTTGAGGGTGCTGGCACCCAGGGAGCTGGGTTTTGTTCTTTGAGCGGTATCACTAGAGGTTCCTGCTGGCATTATGGAACACAGCTGTGGGGTTCCACTGAGCAGAGCGTGGGATGAAAGCCCCTTTTCACGTGTGGGGTGTTCTTGCCCAAAGCAGGGGTGTGGGAGCAGCCCATAAAGAAGCTGACCTTCAGTCTTGCACAGAGACCACACGAGACCCCAKGATGCTCATTCTGAGCAGGGCTATGCAGTCCTTTCCTCACACCAACCACAAAATGACTGAAAGATGAATCTTTTGGAGCTGCAGAGTCCTACAGCTCCAAAGGCAACAGAAATTTGTCAAAGGTCKCAATCACTCTCAAAGTGTAAAGAAACAGGATAGAACAAAATATAGAGGAAAGATAAAGAAGTACTGCAGGGCTGCTATTTTGCGATATGAATTTACCTTTTAATTAAAAACAAGGTCTTGAAGCTTAGCGAGAATCTGCACTTAGTTCTGGATTCTATTTCTTTGATGCTCCTTTTATTTACAGAATAAGTTGCAGAAAGCTGTTGTTATTTTAGACATGAATATTTTTGTTTGAGTGTTACTGCCTTTGATTTTTTTTCTTAAATGCTGGCTAATTTTGCATTTTGAGTAGGAAGCTTCAACTTCACACCAGCTCTACACATGCTCTTCTGCTATCCAGCAGTCTGGGTAAGGTAAACCTGTAAAAAAGACATTCCTTCACTAATCTCTATGGCTTTATCATTATTTTATTATTGCTCACCTTACTGTGAACTTGCAAAAGATATGGGGAGTATCTGAAGTAGTTTAAAATTATTTAACTTTCAAAATATGTGGGATGCAGGCAAGTGTCCCTATATATCGACCCAGCCCCCATTTTTGCTTTTGCTTTTGCTTTCTAACTGCTGAATGAATTAGGGAAGGCAGGGCCAGGTGAGCGGCCTGCAGTGATCTCTGTGGGCAGTGGGCTTCCCCCACCCCTCAAAATGCACTAACCACCTCTGCTCCCACACCAGATGCCTTCCCAAATCCTCAGTCCCTGCCCARAACCTCTCTGCTGTCTGTCCTGCAYCACCCTAGTGCTCACAGGAGAGGGGACCCCCATGGGCACCACCCCATCTTGCCCACATTTATTGTGGAAGGGAGCACCCAGGCAGCATCAAGGCAGAAAAAGTCTCTAAAAAGCAGCAGAATTAGCAATGTCTTGCACACCAAAGCAAGTCCTAAAGCAGGCAAAGCAGCATCCAGGAAAGGTAGACACCCATTCCCAACATCCCACCTTGTCCATCCCTCCACCTTCACACAAGGTGGGAGGCAGTGGGCAGCTCCAGTACCAGCACCCTCATCCTGCTCCATGGCTCATCCATCAGCAGCAAGGAGGAGGATTAGTGCTCAGTATCAACGTGGGCATCTGCCTGCCTGCCAGGCTTGCTCTTTAAAACAGGCTGTCAAGTACAGAGAGCTGTTGAATCAATGTGTGCCTGGTAGCTGTTGATGCCACTTCTGCCAGCACAGGGTGGGCTGAGCCACTGCACAGCAGCARGGATCCAGGCAATGAGAGCGAGGATGCAGCGCTGACTCTTCAGTACCCATTTCAGACAACTGCGAGAAAACAGTCAAACAGGAAGACTTCAGGGATGGTGTCTCTGTGTTGCTGCTGCCAGTCCCCCCTCTCAGGGCCAAACATGAAYGTTTGCCAAGCACAGGGGGGACTGGATACACTATGGTTGGTCAGTTCTTTGAATGAGATGTGAAAGCAGGGGCCTCCACCACCAGCCTCGACAAATCCTTTCCACATCCACAACACACAATAAAAATCAGCTGACATCCAGATCACCGTCTCCTCTTCACCTGGGCAGCTTCTCATGCCCATGCCAAGGCTGCAGATTGCTGTGGATAATAGCTGTGACATTCATCCAGACCATGGCTGCCTACCTGTGCTTGCATGGAGGGCCCGGTGCTCGATGGTCCCGTTGCAGAGGGGATGTCGGGCTACTTGGAGCTCGTGTACTTGGTGACRGCCTTGGTGCCCTCYGAGACCGCGTGCTTGGCCAGCTCTCCRGGCAGCAGCAGGCGCACGGCCGTCTGGATCTCCCGSGAGGTGATGGTGGAACGCTTGTTGTAATGGGCCAGGCGGGAGGCTTCTCCAGCAATGCGCTCAAAGATGTCATTGACGAAGGAGTTCATGATGCCCATGGCCTTGGAGGAGATGCCGGTGTCAGGATGGACCTGCTTCAGCACCTTGTAGACGTAGATGGAGTAGCTCTCCTTCCTGCTTTTGTGACGCTTCTTATCACCCTTCTTCTGGGTCTTTGTCACGGCTTTCTTGGAGCCCTTTTTGGGGGCTGATGTTGACTTCGCTGGCTCTGGCATTGTGAGAGCTCTTTCGCTGGGTCTTGGAGCTGCATGGAGAGAACATAAACAAAAAAATCTAATTCTTTTTTGATCTTCTACAGAATAATTGTACTGCAAGATGAGAGTCTGAGTTGGAGGCAAGCAATAACTCTGAATCTGAGACAAACACCCTGTGACCCTGTTCTGAAGCGATTCTGAACTGCCAGCAARAACTTCTCTGGTCTGCGTATGGCCTTTTGTTGTTTTCTGTCAAACACCTCTAACACTGGCCTTGTCAACATCTCTGCATAACCCTAATTGGCATCTACTCAGTAAACATGGGATGGAGCCTGAACATCCTTCTGAGAAGAACATTGCAATTCCAAAGACAACAYTAACTTCAGCATAGATTAAATTACATCTTGCTGGAATGGGCTCAAGACTGTTGCAAGATATTACTGAAGTCACTTTTAYATGACTGGTCGGAATGATTTTATGTGGTTATTACAATCTTCAATAAACTGTTTTTAATTTGCATTTAGGTAGAAGTTTATTTTAACGGTGCTTGCATTCCTGTGGCTATCACTTGACTCAATGTTTTCCAGCAAAATATAAAAATAATACAGTTTTACAGGAATATCTCAGTTCAAAAAATATCAGAGAGTAGAAAAGCTTAGAGGAGGTGTCAGGAATCACCTGGCAGAGAAASAGAAATGGGAATAGGAGTCAAAAAGCAAAGTGCCTTTGGGCTACATGTTTATGGGAAAATTTTTTCCTGCTATTTGATGCTTTTTGCTTTTGACAGATCAACCCTTCACAGGACAGTTTACACCAAAGATGCCTGAGCCTCCCTCTGAGGTTTTCTTCATTAGGTCACAACCTGCAGAGCCATGACCTGCAACTGACTGCCCTCAACCACAAATGCAGTAACAAAAGACAGTATGTAAATTCATCAAAAACCTGTGTGCCTCCCCTACACTACAAATTCACACATGCTCTACTACATGGGCCAAGGGGAATAACTGTGCTGCAACCTGGTAAGCGGTTTTGTTTTTCAGAGAAAACTTGGAATGCTCCATTGAAAGACAAGGCTCCTCCAGGCTTCGCTGGAGGATGAGCTTCCAGCATCACCCCAGGGCTTGGGTTTTACTGCTCTGCATCTTCTCTGAGGATGACCTAGGAACTACAGTCTGCTGGCCAAGAGACACTAGTAGGGAAAAAAGAGCTGCAGGGCTGATGGCACATGGGCAAATGGATAGAAGCAAACAGGAGACACAAAGCTGGGATGTAACATATGGTCTGCACACTCAAGTACCAGAGAGGGACCCAAATGGTGCCTGTGCCAAAGCAATGGCTGCACGCTCAGCCCTGCCCCTCCTCCTTGGCAGGGGTGAGATGCCTGGTTTCTCCACTGCTGCCTGTACCTGCAATCACAGCCAGATGCAGCAGCACCATTGCAACCAAGTCTGTATGAAGTTCCTGGTTGCTCCCTATGGGAGCAGACRTCTTTGATCCTGAGGCTGGATTTTCACACCCACACCTCAGTGGACACCAGCTCCTGCTTCCAAATCATGTGAGAAACCCCCGTGGCTCCAAAGGAGCCTACGAGGTGCTGCCTCCTGCTTGCAGCGAGCCCCAGGGCCAYTGCTGGCTGCTCTGCCCAATGGGGCACCAGGGCTGGCTCTGGGGGCCACAGGGGCTGCAGCCACTGGGCAAGGGGCAACACGGAGCATTTCAGGCAGGGCTGTGYCCTGCTGCAAGGGCAGGGTGGCACTGCTTGGGATGCAGTGGAGTGGGCAGGCAGGGTCACCACTACAGACCTTCAAAACACCCTCCTGTCTAAAAGCCACGATCAGCACCAGTGTCCTTAGTGCTGAGTCTTTGCTCCAGAAAAGCAGTTTCTTCTCCACAGACATGATTTTCATAAGTTAAGTTTTTGACTCTGCACTCATGCCCTTTCTTMATTTTTCCAGGCATTCTTTCCAGTGGTGGCATTTGGAAGGGCAAGTCCTGGACTGCCGCAAAAGTTCTGGACACTCTTCAAAACTTACACCTGCCTCATTAAACATCACATTTCCTTCCTCTGGTGAAATCACAAATTTTCTTCCTTTTTTCCTCTTTTTGGGAGGCAGTATTGGAAAAAGAAGTCCCCTACCACTCTGTTTGTAGACTCGAAAACACGTCTTTTCAATGGAAAATGATTTTTCTATGAGCAGAAATAACTATGCACTTGCTTTTTCTTTTGAGCTCATTTCCTGGTTGAAAAACACTACAACTGAAAAATGCAAATTAGTATTTCTTTAACTTTTTAAAAAACATTCTTTCTAAAATATGCATTAATTCTTAAGTGCACTGCTACTGCAGCTTTTAAAAAATGAATAGAGAGCCCAACAGGCACCAGGGTGATTTTACAGGGCTCCAGAAAATGTCACACCTACAGGACATCTCATCCRTTTGATCAGCTAACACCCTTGGGTAGCACAGCCTGGACCTCACTCTCCTCCCATGCATGGCKGCAATGTGGGAAGCAATGATGCTCAAATTCAGAGAGCAGCACAAAAGCTTGTGCTTCTCTCCACCCATTTCTTTGCAGCTGACTGTTTAACAGGAAAATAACACCTTCTCTGAAAACAGGCTGTGTTCTTTGTGGTTTGTTTGGGCAGTGCCTAACACAAAGAGCCTCAATGCATTTGCCAGGTGCTGAGTAAATAATGTTAATAATGGTCAACATTATCACCAACCCTTCTGTCAACARTGCAACACAACCCACAGCAGCTGCTGCTCTGGTACAGAGACAGAACTAGTGGGATTATTCCCAAAGTGTCCATGTGGAGAGTTTGTTGAGGCAAATGCTAAGTGACCTTTAAAAGAACGTTTTCTTTTTATTAAAATAGTGCATTTCTTTGTTTCCTTAAAAAACAAAACAAAACAGAAAAAGAGAGAGTTGGAGAGAGGAGCTGAAGAGATTAACAGGTAAGTTTTTGTCTTGGAAGTCCTGCCAGCATGATTGCCTTCTCTACTGTGGGGTAGACCAACACCGGGCACAGGATGCTCAGAGAGGTTGCAGGATCTCCATCCTCAGAGAYACTCAAAACCTTACTGGATATGGCTCTGAGAAACCCACAGCAGCTGGCCCTGCTCTGAGCATGGACTGGACCAGATGTTTGCCAGATGCATCTCCAACTTCATCCATTCTGCGACCTTTGGAGACTGAAATTGGGTAGAACACACTTTATGAGCTGTGTTCCCTTGATCAGCATTTCCCATGGGATATTGCAGCCAGAGTCCCACATGGACCTCTAACAAGAGATGGTGTTTGCCTCCAGGTTCAAACCATTGAGGTTCCCAGGACACAGGGTATGGCCATGCAAGAGAAGGCAATTTCAAGTAGGACATTTGGAAGGTTTCAGGTTTTTGAGGAAAATCTCTGGGAACATTTTTTATTTACAGCTTTGTATGCTCTGAGTTAAATCAGTTTTCAGTGCTGGCTGTTTTTTCCTTCCTCAGAAAACCAACAACAAACCCAACCACAGTAATTTTCCCAGCCAGTTCCAAGCAGCAGCCTGACTGCTGCCAGAAATCAGAGCAGTGTGGAGTGACAGATACATCTTCCTTTGTGTTGACACTCTTTTCTTCAGCATCATTAAAAAGAAAATGAACGGAAAAAACATATTCAGAGATACAAATCACCACAGTGTCTCAGATCCGAAATGGGAGAGGAGCCCTGCTGAGAAATCCCACGTGGAGCCTGATGCTGTCTCTTTTCCCCAGGCTTGATGTATCACTGGAGAGAGACAGGCAGGGAAGCTCCTGCAGCATTTTTGTTCATTTTTGGCCTTGCTGCTGAGTCTGTAGGACCAGTGCCAAGCTGGTGCTAACGCACCATGGGTGGCCATGGGTGGACTGTGAGCTGGCATTTTGGACATCTCCTCWTGCAGGGGTGGAAACAGCACTTAGATTTTTTTTACTTTCTTTTTTCTTTTGAAAGCTGTCCTTGTTATAATGAGCTCTGGGGCATCCACTGTAAATCCCCCTGCCCACAGGGCTGTTCCCTTGCTATMATTTCCTAGTCAACCATAAAAGTAACATTTCTAGAATCAGCATCTTGTTCTTAGGAGGTTTTGGTGACAAATTAAACATTTGTAGGAAAAACTCAAACTCTCATCTTTTAGACATCTGAAACTCTGATATTTATTAATCTTATGATGTCCTACTTTAATCCTTGCTAAAGCAAATGAGAGCCAATAGGCACCTGCTGATAATTCTGCTCCTTAAATAGGAATGTCCTGTTAGTTCTGTCCAATTACTACCCCTTTCCTCATTTTATCCTACTGTATAAAAGAAAGAATACTAGGCTTTATTTATACATGTCAAGAAATATAAAGTGAAATTTACTGCTACTTTTTGTTTTATTTTATTTGAAACACAAAGGGCAACAAATTAGGGAATGTTTCCACCAAAAGGAAAAGGCTCTCTAAYGGATTCACCTGCTCTGAAATGCTTGTAGGATCTGGTAGATATAGTTTACAAATTAGTGGGTGTCAACAAATGACTGTTTTTGGAAAAGAGAATTTCTGCAAACTGCAAATTCCCTTCCTTTCATTATGTATGGCCATCTACTATTATACAATAATTTGTTCATCTGTCAGGTGTCATTATAGAGTAACAGCTGAGAAAACACATAATATTTGTGATTATTTGGTAGCAAGCTCTGCCTCAGGTATAAAGCAGATCAGAAGCACGATGAGTCATTGTGAGACATTGGAGATGCTGCCTTGTGCAAAAACTGATAGTCATATTTTGGTCTGGAAAGAATTTTTCCCTTGGTATGTTGTCCAGCATGTGATGATGAGGTAATATTTGCTTTGAAGTAAAGAGGAGGAGAATTTCCCAGCATAAGGTAAACTAAGCTGAAATGCATGATTTCTTCCAACGGTGGAGGGGTGCAGAAAACAGTTTGGGGATTCAAGGTTTCCCCCCAAGTAATCCAGTACCAATAGTAAGACCCCATCCCATTTCCACATGATCTGCTGCACTTTGTGTCACTGTTCCTGCAAAGTGCTCATTT